TATGACTGGAAAGGTAGCATTTGGATCAGGCAAGAAGTGTGCTGGGCAGTTCTGTGCCATGGACTCTGAACGTGATATCTGGTGGTTGAGAGAGTAGCAGTGGGTACCTAAGCTGGCAGCCAGAGCGGGTGCCCTGGTTGCCCCTTTTGTGTTACGCTACTAGATTAGGCCCTAAGATTGTCCCTAAATTATTCTAGTTGAAAAAGTCTTTATTGCCAAACTTAAAAAGGAATCATAGCTACAACAAAACTCAAATTGGAGAGAGAGGAGTTTAATCTTCTAGGACTTAGAAGCTTTGGACAGCAATTCCTAGCGGGGGGCTGGACATCTAAATCCCTTAGGCAGCTTTGAAATGGCGTGTCTAAGCACTCTCCCCCCGGCCCTTAATTATGTCACTTGGTTTGCTTTTCTCATCTGTTAGTTGGTTTTAGATTACGTGTTTCACGATGGTTTTGTCATTGTTTGTGGAGGCTGCACTATTCCCAAGGCTGTGTCCAGCTGTGACAACTTGGGAAAGGGAGCTTTCAAACAAAACCAGAAAGATGATGGGCATAATTTTAAATGTCTAAACATGGAGCAAAGAACCCCTTGTCCTAAAAACAGGAGACAGCGAGACTGAAAAAATGGACTGTAATTTGCTGTAAGATCTTTCTCCCCACATCGGATGCATTTGAACGTGTATAGTGCAATATCCCAAATGCATCGGCAAAGGGGCAGATTCATAAATATTATGCCTTTATACTTATTATTGGCCTATGTCAGAAAGCATCAAACAAAGCTTATTTTCTTGGATCTGGCGTGTGCTGCTTAGGGTTGGTCCAAAATGTTGTGACAGAAAAATGAACTTTTGACTTAATTAATATTTTCTTGCGAGGAGTTTGCTTTCCTTTAATTTCCTTTTTCTTTTTGTTAGAAAAAGTGATACCTGCCTGAATTCTTTTGTTTTCAGTTGAAAATGTTTTTTGGGTTTGTTTTTTTTTTTTTTTTAAACAAATGTCTAAATATCTCATGGAAAACCATTTCTAACAAACCTCTGGTCTTGCTGCTATCCTCCAGTGGCATTTTGGTCCTATCCATATTAGAATTTGATCCATACATATGTCAGATTTTACCACATCTTCAACGCTCCCATGAAATATGAACTTTCATTTCTACCCAGGAGAACTTTTACAATCTTTGTAGGGTGAAGGGTGTTTGTGCCCGAAAGCTTGCAATTAGAGATTTTTTTGTTGTCGTTGCAAAAATCCAGTTGGTCTAATAGCACCTCTACCGTGAGTCCTGATTGCTCTATCCATACACATGCACACTTTACACAATCCATAATTAACATGTTGAATTCACTGTCGTAGGAGGTGGTGGAGGCAAATAGCATAGCCAGATTCAAAAAGGGAATAGATAAATTAATGGATGATAGACCTGTATTAATGGCTATTGAACAAAATGGTTGGAGATGGTTCCTCTGGCATCTCTAAACCTATAATGGTGAATGCCAGAGAGGGTATTAAGTAGGACAGATCACTCTAGGGGTACCTGGGTCAGTGCTCTCCATCTATAACATCCACTTTTGCGTTTGCCCCTCTCGGATACAGGATACTAAGCTAGATGGAGCACCGCTCTGACCCAGTGTGGCACTTGTTATATTTTTATGTTCTCAGGGCCAACCTCAGTGCTCAAGCATCGCATGTCAGCCACCCCCACCACTATGAGAGTTTGGCTTTAAAAAAAATCACAACATTTTAAAATACATTTTTCGATATTTGGGAGTAATGTGCATTTCCACCTACTCATGAGGAATAAACAAAAGAGAGACCTGGGAGTACCACTTAATAACTCAATTCTAGTAGCTGGGAGCTTTAAGTAAAAGAGAAAATACCTTGCTTGCCCTTGTAGGAGCTGGCAACCCTGTCCTATGAGTCTCGTCTGTTTTTAAAGCGATCAATTGAGGGCTCTTTCACCTCTAATGTGCCCCAATGTATGTCTAATGCAACATTACACTGTGGTGTAAATCAGGGCAGAATTGGGCCTCATTTGCCCGCTCTTTCCAGGCGCAGAAGCTTAGATCCACTGTTGCTGCTGCCTGTCAGGGAACAACTGTTGAGGGCCGACCCCTTTCCTACAGCAAGAAAGCAACTATTGTTTTGCATTTGTCTGTAGGGGCAGTTCAGAGCTATGAACTAGGCCCCGAGCCCTCCTCCTACCCCCAAGATCACCACCACCAGGAAACATTGAAAGAATTTTTTACTTTGCTTCCCACCAGCAAAGCAAGAAAACAAGCGATCCACCAGTGGTTAAATATTATCTCCAGCTTAAGTGAATGAGTAAACACCACATATTCCTAGCAACGGGCGTGTGGGGCCTCAACCTCAACCACCAAGCAGAGCCCTCTTCTGGGAACCCCAGGTCAACTTAAGTACTTAAGTACCCCCAGCCTAGAAGTACATAAGGGGGGTGCACCAGGATCCGGGAGAACAGCTGTTCACTAGGGCTGCCCAAGGGAGAGCAAGGTCCAGCGACCACAAACTTCTGAAAGGCTGATTCAGACTGGACACAAGGAAAAACTTCTTTATGGTCTGAGCGGCCCATCCACCTACTCTGGACTCATTCAAATGGCGTTTGGATGCTCATCTTGCGGGGGTCACTTAACCCCAGCAGACTTCCTGCCTATAGGGTGGCCACTGAGGTACCTCCAGAATAGATGTCCCCACCATCATGAACGTCACGTGGCTGGGGAGCATCGCGAGCTCGGCAGTGGCAAGCAGGGAGCTCCGGCAGGCAGCCACAGCGGTGTTGGCAGCGGGGAGCTCCCGCATGGGCGATGGGTGCCTCCTGAGTCTGGGGGGGCACCCGATCGCCGACGGAGTGAAGGTCCCCCAGCAGCCGATCGCCAAGTGTGAAACCACCAGTCGGGAAACCGGATGCGCGCTTTCCGTTTCATAGTCAGCGCTCCCAGGGGGTGCGTGGCCCATCTCAGTGGGTGCGTGTGCATGTGAACCTCCACGAACCTATGAATACAACTTCTGGCAGAGGCTAGGGGGGGCCTGGGAGGCTCTTGTCAGCTGAAACAAAGACCGTTTTAGGGTCTAGCCCAGGGGTGCACCCAGGTGCTGTCCCCTTGCCTGTGGCTGCCCCGGGCAGCAATGAGCCACATTGCCCTGGGCAGCAGAGGGTATGCGCAGCCCAGGAGTGCACCCAGGTGCTGTCTCCTTGCCTGCAGCTGCCCTGGGCAGCAATAAGCCACATTGCCTTGGGCAGCAGAGGGTGCGCCCAGCCCAGGGGTGCACCCGGGTGCTGTCCCCTTGCCCGCAGCTCCCTGGGCAGCAATAAGCCACGTTGCCTTGGGCAGCAGAGGGTGCGCCCAGCCCAGGGGTGCACCCGGGTGCTGTCCCCTTGCCCACAGCTCCCTGGGCAGCAATAAGCCACATTGCCTTGGGCAGCAGAGGGTGCGCCCAGCCCAGGGGTGCACCCTGGTGCTGTCCCCTCGCCCGTAGCTCCCTGGGCAGCGATGAGCCACATTGCCTTGGGCAGCAGAGGGTTTGTGCAGCCCAGGGGTGCACCCTGGTGCTGTCCCCTCGCCCGTAGCTCCCCGGGCAGCAATGAGCCACATTGCCTTGGGCAGCAGAGGGTGCGCCCAGCCCAGGGGTGCACCCTGGTGCTGTCCCCTCGCCCGTAGCTCCCTGGGCAGCGATGAGCCACATTGCCTTGGGCAGCAGAGGGTGCGCCCAGCCCAGGGGTGCACCCTGGTGCTGTCCCCTCGCCCGTAGCTCCCTGGGCAGCGATGAGCCACATTGCCTTGGGCAGCAGAGGGTGCGCCCAGCCCAGGGGTGCACCCTGGTGCTGTCCCCTCGCCCGTAGCTCCCTGGGCAGCGATGAGCCACATTGCCTTGGGCAGCAGAGGGTTTGTGCAGCCCAGGGGTGCACCCTGGTGCTGTCCCCTCGCCCGTAGCTCCCCGGGCAGCAATGAGCCACATTGCCTTGGGCAGCAGAGGGTGCGCCCAGCCCAGGGGTGCACCCTGGTGCTGTCCCCTCGCCCGTAGCTCCCTGGGCAGCGATGAGCCACATTGCCTTGGGCAGCAGAGGGTGCGCCCAGCCCAGGGGTGCACCCTGGTGCTGTCCCCTCGCCCGTAGCTCCCTGGGCAGCGATGAGCCACATTGCCTTGGGCAGCAGAGGGTGCGCCCAGCCCAGGGGTGCACCCTGGTGCTGTCCCCTCGCCCGTAGCTCCCTGGGCAGCGATGAGCCACATTGCCTTGGGCAGCAGAGGGTTTGTGCAGCCCAGGGGTGCACCCTGGTGCTGTCCGGCTCCCCCCACCCACCCCTTCCTTCCTTCCTTCCTCCTCTTCCCTCCTTTCTTCCCCCTTCCTCCTCTTCCTTCCTTTCTCCTCCTTCCTTCCTTCCCCGGGGAGATGTTTGGGACCCCCCGCCGGTGCCATCCTGCGGGGACACCGAGCTCCCGCTGGTTTCGGAGGGACAAAGCCGTCCGCTGCTTGGACGCGCCACGGCGCTCCAGAGTTTGAGGCTCGGTCCAGGGCCAACATTAAAGCACGGAGCGACAGAACAGGCACGTCGTTCTAAAATAACAGCCCTGGCCGGGCTACGGCTCCACCGTGGTCTAAGGGGTCAGCGATGTTTTTGGGCAGAGTGCTGATAAACGCCCCCGCAACCTTGGTTTGGTGTGCCCGGGGCGGGTGGTGGGGGAGCCACGAGGCACCCGATCCTTGTTGAGGCAGCGCAGCCCTGGCCCCTTCCCTGCCATCCGCCCTGAGGTGCGCGTGCCAAGCAAAATGCCTTCGAGAGACCTTGCAGATCATCAGGTCCGGCCCCCCCCCCGCGCTAGGCAGGGAGACGACTGGGGTCAAGTGACCCCAGCGATGTGACTGTCCAGTCTCCTCTTGAAGATGTCCAGGGTAGGTGACTGCACCACTTCTGGAGGGAGTTTATGGCAGGGTCTGGCCACCCTGACTGTGAAGGAGTTTTTCCTGGTATTAAGCCAGGAGTTTGTATCCATTGGTCTTCTGTTCGCAGCGAGTGTGAGCATTAGTGAGTAATACAGATAGCTGAAACCAACACCTGCGCCATCTGAAAGTACATCAGGTGAGGAGTTTGCTTTGCTCCTTCCTGCTGTGAATGAATTAGAGCGTGTTCAGTAGTAGTTGTTACAAATGCAGCCCTCTTATGCTCGCAAGCCGTTTGCTGTAACAGGTTTGGCACACGTTAGCATTCATAAAACTGCCCTGACAAATCACCTTTAACCGGTAGGTTGTTCGTGTGTTTACTTTGACTCATCACCTTTCATGCCGTTGGGCTGGACACCCAGCACTGCGTTTGTGGTCTTAGCCCCTACTCCTGCGCACGTTTTTGTCTGCGTTCCCCTCCCTCATACACAAACCTTTCAAGCACCTGCCTACGCGCTCTGAACCCAGGCTTGCTTGTCCAGCTGGGTGTACGGGATAAATCCCAAATTGCACTTTTATCTCAGGCTGGAACCTGCCCACTTTGCAACGAGGGTGCAGACAAGTTCATTCAAGAGCTGACAGTCCTCCAGTGCCCTGCCAGTGACTCCCTCACCCCGAGTGTAAGTCACTGTACAGTGACTTACAGTATTGATTTAGAGGACATCCTAGCGCGGGGGGATATACCTCCAGACACACATGGGAGAGTGCAGAGGATGGACTGAAGAGATGGGTGAGCCCTGGGGATACTTGCACCTTTTCCCTGATTGTGCCCCCTGCATCCAACACAGGGTGTCAGCGTTGTTGCATCCGTGGTGTAGACACCACAGGTTGTATAAAAGCTTTTAAAGCTGCCTTGGGCTGCCTGAGGGTCTTTTTAGGCAGAGCAGATTCTCGAGCTGAGCTGGCTAAGGTAGTGTTAAAGCAGCAGAGTAGTACAAAGTTGTCTAAAGTAGCAGTTCTCAAACTTTTTTGTACCAGGACCCATTTGTAAACATCAATGGCCAGTCCTGACTCAGTGCCCCTCACTCCCGACCGACTGCCCCTCCACCCCCAGCCCCACAGTGTGTGGGGCAGGGGGTGGGTGTGTGGGGTAAGGGGGACCTCAAGCAGCCCCTCACAGGCTTGAACTCTGCCAGCCTGCAAGAGAAAAGCCATAGTTTCCCACATTTTTCTTCTTTAAAGGAGAAGCCATTTTTTAAAGTTTGTTCGCAACCCTTTCATATATTCTTGCAACCCACTTTTCACGACCCACAGGTTGAGAAATGCTGGTCTAAAGGCAACTCCGAATCTGGTTCCAAGTGCAGATCAGCAGACAGCGCAGCCTAAGATCCTATAAATATGAAGAGGACCAGTGTTGAGAGCTTTTTAAATAGCATGTTTATAGACAAGGGTCCGTATCGTTTCCTCTTGCAGAGAGAGCAGCGTGATCCGTAAAGCAATCTGGATTTATTAATCGTGGTATCAGGTAATTTCACTTGAGTAACTCGAGCCAAGACTATTGTATGTGACTGTTTTATTTGTTACATTCTTCTGAAGGCTCACCCAGGAAAGACTTGTTCATCCTTCCCTCTCCATACTGGAAAATTGGTGGAAGTTGAGCATTCAGACTGAAGTGGCACATTTGATGCCTTCACAAAATTGCAGGAAACCCTTATTTATCTGCTGCGGCTAGCTCCTGAAGTGTTTGATCTGCTTTTACTCACTCGTAGCTCAGTGAGGATCTGTTGTTGAAGACAATGGGAATCTTTTTATTGGCTAAATAAGGCCTCAGCATTTCACCTACTCGTGTCTATACATAAGATTTGCACAGGGCACACTCCAGAGCCCACTGACATCAATGGGAACATCTGCACTGAGTTCAGAGGTCTTTGGATTGGGATTATAGAGCAGAAGGAGGCCACCCAAATTCAGTCTTGCACTGTAGTGTCTAAAATTTGGAAGTCAAACCTGAAACATCACCAGTTTAAAATATTGAGGTTTACTTTGTTTTGGTTCTGGTTTTTGCACCCTTGCAGTACAGTCAGGTTATGTTTTCAAGTTTTTATCTGCAACCATGGGGGCTGGACATTTGTTTTATGAAACAGTGGCAACTACTGTGCTTTTAATCGCATGACTCCAGGACCTGGGGTTGCATGGAAAACTCCCAAGTATCACAAGACTTGCAGTAAAGTACAAGGGCTGGTAACACTGTGAATAAGAGGTGAATTCAGCTTCAAAAATCCCCTAAATTACACGTGGCAGGTAGGTACTAATTACAACACCCCATCCATTAGTAGGAGGGTGGGCGTGATGTAAAAGTTTTCAGTAGAATAGATCCTGGATATGTTCAGGTATGCGGTTCCTAGGAGGCATTAAAGTTCTGCATAGCATTGATGATTCAGTGGCGATAACTCCAACTCATTAATAGTGAAACTGATACCTGGTCAGCAATGCTGCTTGTCTCCGATTTACCCTTTATGTTAATGCATGATGGACAGATGAACAGAAAATAATTAACAGTATTTCCATGCATTTCTTTAACTGAAAACTCACTACCTTTGGGACTGACTACATGAGTCCCAAAGGTGAAACACAGATCTCACTGAAGTCTATAAGAGTTGAAGGAGCCAGACAAAGTCATTGCGGAGCCCCTGACAAAACTCTTGCACAACTCGTGGTGCTCTGGAGAAGTCCCTGAGGACTGGAAGAGGGCCAGTGTTGTGCCCACCCACAAGAAGGGCAGGACAGAGGACCCGGGTAACTATAGGCCAATCAGCCTAACTTCCATCCTAGGGAAAATCCTAGAAAAGTTCATAAGGAGTCTATCTGCGATAAGCTTGCAGAAGGTAAGATTCTGAATGACAGCCATGCTGGCTTCGTCACAGGCAGGTCTTACCTTACCAACCTCATCTCCTTCTGTGACCAGGTAACTTGCCACCTGGACATGAGAGCAGGTTGACATTGTATACCTAGACTTCCAAAAGGCCTTTGATCTAGTATCCCATGATGTCCTCGTGAGAAAATTGGAGGATTGGGGGCTTAACTCTGGGGCAGTCAGGATGGTGAGAAACTGGCTGCCAGGTAGGACCCAGAGAGTCGTAGTGAATGGATCTGTGTCATCCTGGCAAAAAGTGGGCAGCCGTGTCCCTTAAGGGTCAGTGCTCGGTCCAGTACTTTTCAACATCTTTATTAATGATTTGGATGCAGAGGTGAAGAGCTCACTGGCCAAGTTTGCAGACGACGCCAAGTTATGGGGAAGCGTGGTCACTCTTGAAGATAGGCTACAGTTACAGGCGGACCTAGGCAGGCTAGCGAGTTGGGCAGATGGGAACCTGATGAAGTTCAGTGTTGAGAAATGTAAAATGCTCCACCTCGGGACGAACAACCCCCAACACCTACCGGCTTGGTGGCACCAAACTGGCCAGCACCATGAATGAAAGGGACCCAGGGGTAATGATCGACCACAGTATGAATATGAGCCGGCAGTGCGATGCTGTGTCAGTAGGGCAATAATACTCTGGCGTGCATCAATCAATGCATGTCCAGCAAAGCCAAGGAGGTGATTCTTCCACTCTACTCAGTACTGGTGAGACCACAGCTGGAGTACTGCATCCAGTTCTCGGCACCCCACTTCAAGAAGGACGTGAACAAGCTTGAGAGAGTCCAAAGAAGAGCCACCCGTATGATCAGAGTCTTAAAAAGCAAGCCATATGAGGAAAGGCTGACGGATCTGGGACTCTTCAGCCTAGGGAAAAGAAAGCTGAGAGGGGACCTGGTAGTAGCTTACCGCTACACTAGAGGAGTACATTGAGGGCTCAGTGAGCAACTGTTCACCAGGGCACCCGAGGGGAAAACGAGGAGTAATGGCCACAAACTCCTAGACGATTGATTCAGACTCAACATTAGGAAAAACTTCACAGTTAGGGTGTCCAGCCTGTGGAATAAACACCTTCCAGAGGTGGTGCAATCACCTACCCTGGACATCTTCAAGAGGAGACTGGACAGTCACCTCACTGGGGACACCTGGCCCCAGTTATCTTCCCTGCTTGGTGCAGGGGGCTGGATCCGATGATCTTCCAAGGTCCTTTCCGGCCTTACAACCTATGGATCAATGAATCTATGAGTTTTAACATTGACATGGAGGGAGAAGCATCAGTGCTAAATATTAGTAAATACTAAGTTATTAGTAGTATTTTGTGTTGTTGTTTGTATTGGTTAAAAATGTGGTTTTGGTTCTGTCCTTGTTTACAATAAAGCCAAAAATAGTTTTAACTACAGATTTCAGCAGAAGCAAGAACGAAAGCATCTTTGTTGAGAAAAGCAAAAGCGCTGATGACAGTTTGTACTATATCAGTTGCATAAATAAATGTGCCCAAATTGCTAAGACGTGACTTTGTGAAGTCTCCCAGAGCAGAAAGTGGGGAGTTAGGAATTCTTGCATGTTAGCCCCAGCTTTAGATTTGCTACAGTAAGGAAGATAAGCAAGTATTTGGAGAAGGAGGAGTCCATAGTTAGGAAGCTAGTTCAGGACTCGCAAGACTTGGGTTCAGTTTTCATAATGAATCAAAAAGCAGTGATTTATTTAAATAAAAAAATTGACTCTTTTTCAAGTGCAGATGCCTGCATTTACACCCACTGATGAAAAATGTGGTCTTTTAAAATCTATTTTTGATATATTGATAAATATTTGCATGATGTAAAAGTTAGGCAGATGAAGGAAATTCAACAATTATGGGGAACCAGGAACATTTTTAAGCAAATTCTGCAAAATAGAATACTGTATTAATGTTATTGTTGTTATTCATGACTGCTATTACAAAAGACTCAACTGAGATCAGGTCCCCACTGTGAAGGGGTACCCAAATGCAGTCTACAGAGCCATGGCATCTGGCCCTGGGGATCCCGACAGGTTGGGAAGTTTGGCAGCAGGGAAGTGGTGGCAAATAATACAGCCACCCTCCCCCAACACCAAATTCCCAAACCCCAAGCCCCATGGCAGGTCGGAGCCAAGCCATATCCTTCTCTTTGCACAATTCCTCCTCTCCCCTCATGGGGCTGGGTCAAACCCCTTCCCTCCCACCATGGGGCTGGTTTGGGGCTGCATCAAGCCCCCTTTCCCCCATGGGGCTGGGTTGGGGCCAGGCTGTCCCCTACCCCCCT